CACCGACTAACTCTCTTGCCGTACAGTTGTGCCTAACAAGTGAATTCCGCAGTTGAGAAATTTCCGTGAGCTTACGTGCTATTTCCACGTGTTTTTCACTTATTTGTTACTATAAACACTAAGTTCAAATTACTTGGTTTGTAAAATATTTATAATAATATCATTGAGTGTATTATATGGGTAAAATAATTAATTTCCCCGAAGGCAAAATGTAAAAAATCTAATAAAGAAGTGCCTTTTCCACCACTATCAGATGTGACTCAGAATTACAATTGCAATGACCCTAAATTCATTATCATTAAATCCACCGACGTGTCCAACTCTTTATCACAATACAGCGTTTTTGCTAAAAAGAAGGCCATTGATGGCATTAGCACCGAATACCTATCAGTGAGTATTCTACGCGATGGCAGTTGCTGAGAAATTTATTAAATGCAAGAACTTTGGCGGCCTATGTCCCGTCTCTGTGACCTTTCACGACTCCCTTTACACTTGTAAAGGTACAATTTTCGACAAGAATTTGGCACATACGGATGAAAAAGAAATTCTGGAAGCTCTGAAATCGCAAGGAGTTGTGGGTTTGTACAAATTCACTAAAACCATTAATAATGTAGAAGTTCCTACAGGCAGAATAGCTCTATCGTTCAACCTATACAAAATTCATCACACCATTGACATAGCATGGTATTCAGTGAGAGTTGAGGAGTACTTTCCTACTCCCATGAGATGCCGCTCATGCCAACTGCTAGGTCACACCATAAAAAGATGCAATAACAATACTACTTGTGAATCTTGTAACTTTCCACCTCATAGCACACTACCATGTCAACGCACAATGTGCGCTAACTGCTTTGGGCCCCATCCCGCATCCGCCAGAGACTGCCCAAAGTACTTACAAGAGAAAGAGGTATTAAAAATAAAAACTCAGAACAAATGCAACTATGCTGAAGCAAGACGTCTATACAAACTACAAAACCCTATCAACCTAAACCAAAAGCAAACTTACTCATCAGTTCTAAACTCAACACAAGCTTCTCACCACAATCTCATGAGCAACCCCAGCGATCCCACCTCTTCAAGTGGCAGCGCTGCAGCCTCCACTCAGCCACTCACTCAGCTTCTCACTCAATCTCACAACTCTCATTGGATCACACTCACACTCCTTCAATAGCTATCACTTCATCGACAACTCAATCTCTCTCAGCTAACTCAAACGATCAAAACAATATGCACTCAACAGAAAACACCTATTCTGTCTCTCACATGCATTCTCCAACCACACCAACTGGCAATACCATGGACTGTAATCAAAACAATTGCAATGATGAAAATTATACTTCCACATCGCACTCTCCACACTTTTCTACCCACCACTCTAACCCTCTTACTACTTCCTACAATTCCTACAACAACACAAATAGTGAATCCACAACCCAACCAAACACAAGCCTCCAGTCTCTACTAACCACAATATCCGAAATGCACAATAAAAACATAGACTGTGAGCTTCAAGAACCCGAACTATAGGTTATTTTCAATCGAAAATAACGCTAATAGTAAGCATTAATAATACAATACTGATGGTTAATATTCTTCAGTGGAATATTAAAGGTTATCAGAATAATTACCTAGAACTAGAAAATCTAATCAAAGATCGCAAGCCACATATAATTTGTTTACAAGAAACCCACATTAAACCTACTTATTCACCATATTGCCCGAAGCAATATACACCGCATTTTCACAACTTTTCCAACATTAACTATTCTAAACAAGGCTGTGGATTATTAATCCACAAAAACCTCCAACACAAAAGAGTCAACGTAACTTCCAATTTATCAGCGGTTGCCGTCGAATTCAACGTTAAATATCCAATCACTGTGATTTCCGTATACATTCCTCCAAATCAGACCTTTTCTCACTCAAATATGTCGCAACTTACCTCTTCAATAAACACTCCCATAATTATATGTGGCGATTTCAAAGGCTGGAGCCCTCCTTGGGGCTCACCAAGCGCTAATCGCAGGGGCGCAATTATTGAAGATTTCATTCTCGCTTCCAACTTGTGCGTTCTCAATAATAATAATCCCACCCACTTCTCCACTCACAAATCGTTTACACATGTTGACCTGACCATTTGTTCACCACAACTATTCCCCATTGCATCCTGGCACACGCTCGAGGACTTACACAACAGCGACCATTTTCCAATAGTTTGCTCCTTTTCCATCTGCACCCCTAATACGTCCAGCATTAAAATTATTTCTGGGTACACCACTACTAAAGCTAATTGGGAGAAATTTAACA